GCTCACTAAAAACGTTTCGAAGACAAAATATTGGAAAATTGTAAAAAAGTGCTTAAATGTTGCCCAAAAAGCGCAAAATTCTCAAATTCTGCTCACAAGTCAAGAAAGCGCTCAAGAGTGCTGGAAATGTAAAATAGTGCTCCAAATTCGAAAAAGTGTCCAGTGCAATCGGGGCATGCCTAGTCTCGCGCTGTACAATCCCAGATTTCAATAACAACAGGTGCCACACGAACAGATTGTGGTCTGCCTGTTGCTCGAGTGCTTTTTCTACCACCAGATCGAGTTCTTTCTCGGCAGTCCCGAGCTCAACTCCTCGGCCATAAATACAAACAGGTTTTCGCCTCCTGTCAGTTGGGGTTTTTACCCAGGCTTTTTTAACACAGTTCATTTCTTTTTGATTAAAACTGCTAGCAAGATAAACTAAGGCTAGTTTTACACTAGAGGAGATTTTTCCGCGTATTTTTGCCATCTTACCCTTCCGTTTGCTCATTGGCCCCTTCCTCAGCTACTAACAAATCATATTCCTCCTGCGCGTATCTTTCCCAATCTGAAGGCTCAGTACCTTCACTCTCTTGTAAGTCCTGAAAGCAAAACGACTCAAACTTAGTAAAATTCCACGACTTCGTGGGAATAAAAACATTAACGGAAGGTAAGGGTGACATATTAAATAAGCGTGGTAAACAAAAGGAACACCACGCACTCAAAATACCTGTAGCATCAAATTTCTCTCAAAGATCACGGGACATTGAATCTAGACGAAACTCAACAAAACAAACACTGATCTGTTTCAGCCCTTAAGTGTCGATTCAGCCCTTCCTGGAGCCATTTGAGCACAATTTAGGCCAAAAAAGCTCAATCAAAAGGCTATTCCAGCCCACGGTAGGGCCCATTTCAGCCCTTGGCACCAAATCAGCCCTAGTTAATTGGACCGTATTGGCCCTGATTTAAGGGAGCCAAATTAGACTCAAAAATAGGACTGTATTTTACTCACCGAAACGGCCCCATTTTTAGGGCCAAAACAGATCTTTCTGATTTAGAGTGAAGGTTTGTCGTTCTTTGGCCCCGGCCATAAAAAATCTACTTTCAGGAAAACATCAAATAACAACGAAAGCCGTCTCTTGTCCGGAACTAAAGGCGTTTCGCGGTGAGGGATGATGAGACGGCTGCATTCGCAGGCTACACTCGCTCAGATATACTGGTTCTCAGTGAACCTCCATTAAGGAGGAATCCCCATTCTTTCGGAATTTTTTTTTCTGGGCATTATTCCTGCGTATCACGTTAGGGACCGTTAATTTTTTATGAGAGAGGGGGGGCTGGTGGGATTTGGGGGGGGGGG